TTCTGGAGGCGTGGCCATCAACATACCAGCAGCAGTTTTGAATTCCCGTTGCAGTAGCAGCACACCGTTTACCCCTGTATTGTATTATAAATGTATTGTTAAAATGAATTACCTATTCAACGCATTGACCAATATGCTTCCCTTTCAAAATTCAGTACTGATACTGCATAAACAACAAAGTGGCATTTATCGCTACAACAGTCGGAGGCGCAATCTTTGTACTGCCACTGTTACTGTGTTGCACAAACAATGGAAATGCCATATCTGTAGGCTGTATACAAATCTGCGTGCCCCCCTTCATTTAAATATCGGCAGTGCTTCATTTAACTCCTGCGTAACATACAATAAACAGTGATTTGTAAAGTATTCAGCATAATGGCATAAAATGCCCAACGACAGTCACTATGGCAACTACAAATAAGGGAAAACAGAACTCCCAGCGTGCGTGTATTTGAGGAAGGGGCATTTCACCTCCTTTCAATGAATAAATGTGGGCAGGTTTCACCTGGTGGTGATGGTGGGAGTGAAGCAAACACAACCGCAGAACAGAAGAAAAGAGAAAGGAAGCATAATTTCACCATGATGAACCCAACGGTTAGCACATCTATGCTCTCTTCCAGGTGACTGCTTGCTACATTGATGAGACCTCTTCAGGGGCTCAATAAGGGGAGTCTATAGAACTAAACTCTCATGAGTGTTAACCTCACTGGAGTGGAGCTAGTCATATTGGAGGTAAAAGCAGGGAAAGGACTGAATAGGGTTTCAGTATGACATGGGGCTACCAGCACAGGTCAGCGTGTTACAGATGGAAATTAACCACCAAAGACTGAATCTTTCAGGATGGTAACTTAAGAAAATTGCCTGTACCCCACCTTCTATTAGAAGGTGCTTCCAAGATCATTATGGAGTCAGCATGAGGTCTTCCTGGAGGGGAGTAGTGATGACTAGAGAGCTACTTGGACTGTCATCATTGATACAAGAGTTCATTTGTCACTAAAGAGAACAAAGGATGACTTGCCTAGCAGTGTCTCACTCCCCTGCAAGGCCACACACTGGCATCACCTGTGATGGTTCATTTGTGACCTTTCAACCGAAATTTGGGATTTTCACCCACCATCTTCCAGTGGATTTCTATTCCCCATCTCTTGTCATGGTGCATTTTACGTAAGGAATGTACCCTTGCCTTTTCCCCGCTGCAGGTTCCACACTGTGCTAGACAGGCACGCTACTGCTAATCCCCCAGAATCCCCAGGGGGTGCTGATAGTGCACTCAACTGAGTTAAGTGGAGAAATGAGCCCTTTAAGTGGACGAGCTGCTCAGAAGACTGCATGTTTTGGCCCATCATCTTGTTCGCCCAAGCTGGTGTTTGTACAGTTTGAACAGCAGAGGCTGTGGTGCAGGAAGCTGGATTCTGAAAGGTGCCAGGATTCTGGAATGTAGAACCGGGCAGGTTCTTCAAGGGCTACAGACCAGACCAAAAATAAACACCAAAGCAGCCGCAGCTGAATTCAGTTACCGGCTTGTTGAATATGGGGAGATAGTAAAACATTTTTCAGCGCAATGAGTAAATATATCACATACAAGGGATGATGAACATGAGGCCTCAAAGACCCATAAGGATGGATTATCATGCACACAATGACCAACTAGTTAATCAGTTTAATTCAGTTTATTGGCTCCCAGGATTAAACCAACCAATGATAGAATGGAAGTTTCACACTTCATAGATGGTATTATGAGGTCATATTCACCAGACCAAACAAAAACACCAGACAAATCCGCCCTTAGAGTATTGTTAATTAAGCTATTACACGTGGTGACTTTGGTCAGTACAATTCAGCTGACCTTGTTCACATTTTTTTTCTTTTAATAATCCCTTTACCAAGCATTCTCACCAAAAAACTCCTCAAGCATACTGCTGGAACTCATATCCTAATTCATTTTTCTTCCCATTATAACTGGATTGCTAAGGTTCCTTTGAAAGCAATAGGATTACTATAATATAGGAGAACAGTCTCTACACATCCACTGTCACTGAGACTCAGCTTCTGGTCCATTCCAGAGGCGTCTTCAATTGCAATGTCAATATGTTTGACATTGGCCAGGATGCTGTGCATGCCTCGCGCCTCACTCTAGCCCATGGACACAGATCCGCAGGAAACCGCATAATCATCCACGTGCCGGTCTGTTTTTCGGCAAACTGCTCACTTGGTACTATTTATAAACGCTCATAGGATCCGGTACATGCAGTGTGACTAATTGGAAGAAGCCTTCAGCATCAACATCACAGCAGTCTGCCCCTTCCTCACTTCTGCCACCCGGTTTAGGGTTTGGGTGGGTTTGTGGACACAAGCTCTAAAGGAAGATGTTCTGCACCTGGCAATTCACAACAGTCAAATAAAGAACCACCAGTATCACAATAGTGGAACTTTAGGTTTCTGAATTTATGGAATCTGTGAAGAGTCCAGACGCCGGCAGGAGTGAGAGCCACTCCGAGCACAGAAGAGCAGAGCTGTGGGAATGCATCCTTAGCTAAAGTGCTCCTTTATTCCTCCTCTGAGGAGATTCTTCTGTCATTTACAAAATGTCAAAGAAATTCTCCGGGCAACATTTCTGCCCTGGTGCAAAGCAGGCGTTGGGACAGAGGACGGCAATCTCATCTAATGACCAATTAAAAGTGCCCGAGAGTCTGCGGGGAGTGGTGGGAGAGGCACCTGTTTGACAAGCCTGGCACCATTAGTCAGACCTGCTTATTTATTACGGTGAATGTGTGATTAGCTGACGGACGGACGGACAGACTTGTAAGCCCCATGCTGTGAGTGATGGAGCAGCCAAAATATATTCCTGATTAAACATTCAGACAAGGTATGTGCCAACATATGACTGTATGAAATATGAGGCTTAAAACCTTATTTTCTCATCACCCGCACCTCTGGCAAAGAATAAATTGGAATAAAAATGAGAGAGCCCTCCAAAAAACAGTCTGCGGAACTCGGCTGCTGCTCCGAGGGAGAGGACCTTCTCGCTGCACAGAAAACCCCTTTCAAAGTGACAGGTAAACATTTGGAATTTCATTTAGAGACCTCAATCCAGGAGTTAAACGGCTTTTCTTTGAGGGAGCACCGGTGGCAGACGCTGCCAGAGCAGAGGATGCTAGTTTCCATTAGAAGCCGACCACGGCGCATCACCGCTTCCATCATGGCCCAATTGAAATCTAACAGATCTCTTAACCAAGCCGAGCGCACCCTGTCCTGATTCATCCACCGTGCACGACTCTGACGACTGTTGAACTGCTATTCTGCTACGAGCCAGAGTGACAGCCTCCTCCTCCACTTCTGCTGTGCCACACACTCACAATTCAGCCAATAGCTTTGGGGGGAAGGACTTAGCTGCATCAGAGGCTTAGCTGGTTATAATTTACAGGGCCAACGCAAATGGTTTGCTTGACATTTTGTTTTCGGAGCTCTCTTTAGCTTTCTAAGCTAAAGTCTGTATCCAGATTCAAAGCTGTCTTGTGGAACGTGTCTGTGAACCCTTAACTCCGTCTTTCCAGAAGAGTTTTGGAATGCCTCGATGTTAATTTGCATTCTTACCCATAATCAAACATCTCAACCCATTCCTTTGTCTGTCAGAAGCTGTGATGGCATCAGCATCCCACAAAACAGGCAAACGGCCCGAAAGCAAAGGGGAAAGAATAAATCATTTCCACAGTGGGACCAGTAATGTATTCAGTCTCCCACATGCTTACAATAATACATTAACATCAAAGAAAAGTAAGTTTTATGAATGAGAAGCTCTTCACCTCTGAGACGGAGTATAAAAGACACGTGGAAAAGTAAAAGCAATCATCGTAAAAGCAAATAATTAAATAATAACAATACTAATACTAATAATAATAATAAAAGCAAAAATCTGAAGATGCTGTAACTTCTTCCTACAAACACAAAATCCTTGCAAACCACACCTTGGTGTAATGTCAAACACTGCTGCGGTACATTAACGTTAAATTAAATCAAAAGATACCTGCTTCCAAAGCCAAACCAACCAATCAGGGAACTTCAACATCAAGTCACACATCAGGTTTTTGGTGGCATTGACTGCCACTCTTGCATATCAGGTACACAGCAAGTTAGTATTGTTCTGTGTACCTAAACATTAGGAGAATAATGTAGAACACCAACAGTGTAACTGCACCATGTACAAAAGTCCTTATTGCTCCAGTTTAGAGTCTGTCAGAAGCAAAAGTTAGTCTAGTAAATACAAATTATATAAAGCAAATCTGCATTGGAAATTTTAGGAATTACTTAAATTAGAGATTACAGTTCACGTAAAGCAAGCAGAGTTTGTGTGTTGATGGTAGCTACAATCAGCGTTCAGTGTAGGGAGTCATTTTAGCATAGACAGTAATGTTTGACACAGCCTGAATGTCAATGCAGAATGATAACAGATTTAATTTAAAAGTCCTCCAGTCCTACACCATCCCTACCCATCCAGGGTCAGCATCAGACTGCAGTGAATCACGCATATCCTGGGTGCAACGTTCCTAGCATTTCAACTGAATAACAAACAGTAACTGCTCAGTATCACAGTGTCTGTCTTATTCCCTATGGTGACATATGTACCTGTTTCTACTATTTTCTAAGAGAAAGAAGCAACTGAATTACATAACGAGCATGCACATGTGGGTGTTCTCATGTGAACCAGAGTATTTGGGAAGAAGCTTTGGTACCTCTTCACTGTGAGAGCGAAGTCATACCTGCTTTGATACTTCTTCACTGTGAGTGCAAAGTCATACCTGCTTTGATACTTCTTCACTGTGAGTGCAAAGTCATACCTAATTTGATACTTCTTCACTGTGAGTGTGAAGTCATACCTGCTTAGATGCCTGCACGCATGTGAAAGGTTACACCATGTGTGGAAGTCCATGTGTGAATTGGTGGCCACAACTGAGCAGAAAAGCCCATGTAAGCCTAAAACGGTCACTCCGAGGCAGACATACCTGAGTACGGAGGATCTCCCCCTTGGTCAGCTGCATGTCCCCGGTTAGCTCCTTAACAACGATGCCCAGCGGCTCCAGACGCTTGCTGAAGTAATTCGTCATTTCAGCAGCCAAGGCCTTCATGGGGGCCACGTAGACAATCTGCAAAGGCAGAGAGACAGAGGACAGGAGTATGATAAATGGAGAAACACCCCTGTATCATTTGTTCCCAAGCAACCAGCGCAAATCACAACCGTGAAATATGAAGGCGGCCACTTAGAATGTAAAAGTTTAACAGCTATGTATGAAGAGTAGTTATCCTAGCTGGCTGCAGTGGGGTGGCAGTGTTCAAGCAGGGGCTCAGCCTCCTCCCTCACAAATCTACTTCCATGCATAACCCTGTATGGCACGTGAACGTGGGATGGTGTGTAGGAGTATAGGGCAGTGTTTCTCGATCTAGTCCTTGGGGACTCAGAAAGTCCATTTTGTTGCTCCTGGGAGAGATCAAAAATGTGGACTGTCTGGAAGGGAGCTGAGAGGGAGCAAAAACCAAGACTGTCTGTGGGTCCTTGAGGACTAGATTGAGAAACATTGAAATAGGAGGGAACCTTGATGCTCCTCCAAAGCCATTGCTGTCACTCCACAAGGAGGGCTGAGGAATAAAAAAGCAGGGGTAGGAGAGCTCCGTACCTTGAACTCATCCCTGCGAATGACACCCCCTGGCTGCAGATGCTGTCGGACCTCATGCAGCACCGTCAGCATGGCGATGTTGGTCTTGCCTGCACCGGTAGGGGCGCAGACCAGCAGGTTCTCATTGGTGTTATACGCCGTCTCAAACACGATGGACTGGATGCGATTCAGGCACTTCATCCCCTTAAAAACCAGCTGGCCGATCTGAGCAAGGCAAGGAGTGAATGAGACTCTTACATCATACTGACAATGAACAGATACATATGTCTGTAGTGTTGACAAGTGTTTCACAGCCAGTTCCTCAGGGACCTGCAGACAGTTCACGTTTTTGTTCCCTCCCAGCGGGCAACAACATGGACTGTCTGGCAGGGAGCAAAAACGTGGATCGTCTGTGGGTCCCCAAGGACTTTGTTGCAAAACGCTTGGCTACAGAAAAAGGTCATCAACTCAAACAAATCTTCCGCAACCACTTTTCCAACACACAGTGATGGTAACCATGGAGCCTGTAACCACTTGACTTAACTCCATACTTTAGGAATGTGGTAAGACACCTGTTTGAACAGAGAGAACATGCAAATGAGGCAAGGAATCAAATCTACACCCAGGAGGTGTCAGGACACAGTGCAGACCACTTAGCCACTGTGCTGCCCTACATACACATCATCATGGAAAAAGCTAAGATATCTTGAGGAGCAATTAAGGAGTAAGACTAACCTTTCTAGTCAGAACAGCATAAATCCAGCTTTGAAGAAAAGCCTACAATTCTTTGAGGGGTGAAGGAAATGCACTTCATACTCTGTGCTGAAAACGATGATCTGGTCTGAGCCACAGAAGGCATAACATCATCCTGGTGCGGAACGTCTGTTGGGTCTCGATCAACTTGAATTATCATCATGAAGGATGTTTGCATCTGGTCCCATAAAACACCTCATATTCCTTGGGAATTATACAACGAGGAGTAATAATCAGACTTGACTGAGCATATGAACAGACATCGCGGGCTGAAGGGGTCCCTTGGCGTTCTCCAGACTTAAACCCGTCTAGGTATAAAATGAGTAGGATGATTCCTCATATTCCATTCCATCCCATTTCCGTTGCTCAAGGGCCCTGCTTCTATGCCCTGAGGCACCTCATGCACTGGCCTTCACCACACCTGCTGTCCACGTGGCCGCCCTGCCAGAAATTCCAGCTCTGTAAAGCTCAGTTCTTGTCAAGACTTGGTCACAGAGGTGCTGATCTTTCAGGCAGTGCTTTTGTGATCTAATCTCACGGTTGATCCTCAAATTTGCCACTACTGCTCATCTTTCCTGATACATGTTTGGCTGTCGTGATTTTTGAGCCCATTCCCCTTAACACAATGTTTGTGAGTGATGCAATTTCGGACATTGACTCATTCACCTCTTGAAACTATTAGTTTCTGTATGTTGCTTTGAAAACTCTAATATCAAAGTGTTGATGATGCTTTTATTACTGATGCATAATGATAACTGGCTTTCGACTTTTGTAGCTGCATTTGTAATTGTGACTTTGTTACTTCAAAGTCCTTTTTCGTGCAGTTTCCATTACCTGTGTGTCCATGCATTATATTAATCTAAAGCCAGCATCAATCGGAAAAAAGGCCTCCATTATTTAAATGCTTGCAATATCCAGTAGATCATAGCCCAAACAAAAAAAAAAATTAGCAATATTGTGATTTTTGTCTTTTCCTTTTTATTATTTATTTGCTTGACAGTCTATTTAGATGAAAGTGAGACCATAAATGCATTAGTCTATGTACTGAACTAAATGACAGGAATTATCTTATTCTAGGGTCCGCACTAAATAACCGTGGACTCGGATTACTTAGTCATAAGCCTATTTCATTTGCTTCCACGTGTATTTGCCACCCCTATTAACTAAACAATGCTACACTGGTCATGTAACTTGGCGAATAACAAATCCATTAAAATCACACTACACACAGACTGTATCGCACAGTAAATCCATTTATATGTCAACCAAGTGCTTACCATGAATGTGTGTGGGTGCGATATTAGATTCTGAGCTGACAACCTGACAAAACATTAAAAGCCATCATAAATTTAAGAGGACATCCATAAAAGCGCTTTCAGTTCCTACTTGTCCACCAAATATGGACACTAAAGTCAGTTTTTCCCCCTTTTGTTTCACCACTTGTGTTCCTAATAACTTTCACTCTGGAATATTTAGCCGCCTAAAAGCCAGCGGGGGAAAAAATGGGGTTACAAAACAAATATTAACATTAACAACGGTCACAATGTGCCTTAGCCACATGTCTACCTGAGAGTAACTAATGGTGACCAAACATGAAAGCTTAATGCAAAATGATACTTGACAGCTAGTCAAACATTGCTTTTTTCATGGCTTTCCCTAGCAGTACTGCATACCAGGTGCAGATCAGCTATAGAGGCCTGATTTCTTACCACCAGAGCTAATCAAAAGCTAAACAATGGCACCGCCCCCTTACTCTTCAACATTCTGTATTCCTTGAATCGATGCTGGAACATTTCTTAGCAGTATTATAAATAATTGTGGATTATTACACCTTCACGTTCAAAATCAGCAGCAGCAGGACATTTAGTAATAGCCTAGGCTGATAAAGACTTAAAAACTACATGGACCTGTGCCCAGAAAGGTGTGTGAGTACTTCTCCACATCCTCCAGTGCATCAGACTGTGTGAGCTCACTTTTCTGGGGTAATGTGTCATTAGATCAGCCAGGAGGCAGAAAGGGTGATTATCTAAGAATTATCAGCTGTAATTGCCTTTGGCTCAAGCCACAGAAAACTATCTTGGGCTGCAGGAGAGATCTTCATTAATATGGGCCTCTGTCTGGTGAATGGCAAGGATGATGCCAATTGTAGGAGAAGGGCACACAACGGCCTACAAACACACCGTGCGGAATCACCACAGGTTTCTAAGGACTTCCACTGCAGTGGGTATGAAAGGGGAACAGTCAGCTGTTGAAAAGACCGTAGTAAACCTTTGATGTTGAAGAAGGGGACAGTAAACCTTCTGGAAGTGAACAGGGAACAACTGCAGGTAGAGGGCAGATGTAAATACATGTATTTAGCTCAAGACAGAGGTAACTACATTCCCCAGCAGGGAAGTGGGGGATCCACTAAAAATAACCTTTCCTTAAATTTTATGTAGTGGCACAGCAGTTTGTTAAGGACTCCTGGCGGCTTTTCCACTGGCTGGGAGCCGAAAGCCAAAATCAGGAGGGGATTAATGTACCACAGGAAAAGCGGATCAAAGGCCATTTATAGCCGAAACGCTGAGCAATTGTGCCATGGTAGCAGTACACAGCAAAAGGCTAAAGAACCTGACCACCGGGCTTTTGGAACAATGCTGTACCAATCTTTGCACTGAATCGGGGGGGTGGGGGGTGGTGGAGGCAGGCTTAAGTAGCGTAAATGATAAAGTTGAGGAAGAGGAAATCAGTGCGAGGGAACTACTGCGCCACTGAGTATGTATTACGGGCAAGTGGTTAAGCAAAAGTGAGCTTTTTTTTCTTAGTGAAGTTCCGATGATTGCTTTCAAAATTAAGAAACGACTGGAGAATTTCCACCGCCCTCGGACTGCCAGAAAGACAAAGGCAGCACTTGTTTGCTTGGAAGGCATCCAGAGTGTGGAAGTATGAGTGTTTGCACAAAGTGTCCAGTTGTGATGCAACTCCAAACCCAATAACTGAGAACACCATGCCCCCGGAAAACAACCAATCCAAGGCAGCGCCCCCTGTGGGGCAAACGGCTGTGACCAAATCACCAGAACTACCTAGCATACAGTCTGATGCTCTACTAGTCCAAAAAGGGGGAGGATCCAAGACTTCTATAAGAGCCTTAAAGACAAAATCAAACCTGGCTGCAGAAAAATACATTAAACCAGGAGTGTTAGATAACTGACACTTCTAACTAAACAGCTAAATGACAGGAGGAATATTGTCAAAATTTCATTATGTAGTTGCACAGCAATTTCATCCAAATGTATAAAAATTTTACCCATTTATACAAATTTTATTTGTTTTTTACTGAGACAGCTCAGGTGTCGTAACTTCATTACAAGATTCTCCCTGGGATTAAATTGATGTTCCTTGATGCCATCACAGAGAGGAAGAAAGCCAGTGTGTTTGTGTGTGTGTGTGTGTGTGTGTGTGTGTGCGCGTGTGTGTGTGTGTGTCTGTCTGTCTGTGTGCGTGTGTGCGTACACGTGACTGGATGTGAGGGTGAAAAAATGAATTAATTTCAGCATGTGTCACAACTAGGTATATATCAGGAGCTCAAGAGCACATTTAAATGGACTTATTCTTGGAGCAAAACAATGTATTTAATTTAAAAAGTTACAAGTAAAAAGCTTCATTTAGACCACAGCAGAGCATTTTTACATTGATAAACAGCACTTAAAGAACTGAGGCCAGCACCAATGCCCTCCTCCTCCTCCTCCTCCTCAGCTATGCCACAGATGTGTGTCTATACCTCAGCCCAATTATTTGCCTCAAGCAAAGCTTTTGGGATTGCTTCCGCTTAAATCCTGGGAGCATAAACTTATAAATATTCATTTCCAAATTAGAGGCAGGCTAGATTCGGCCTCTCTCGTCTGTGTGTTGCGATGTCGTCGTGGCGACGGGCCTGCTGTGTTCACTTTAGCTGCCTCGCCTCACCATGATTAATGGCCTCGCCTGTTTTTACGAGGCGCTGGTGTCCCTGTGTTCGTTAGGCATGCAAATGCATGCAGATGTATTCATGCCCAAAAATTCACCTTGAGGTAATGCATATATGTTATAGAAATGATCTCACATCTAATGATCTCACAGTTTTGTTTCATTTTGCTTTTCCCCCCCCGTTTCTCTTTAAGTAAAATGACATCACAGGGCAGATGAAGGTGCCGGTCTCTTCCACTGCCATTGGCTGGACGTCCTTGGCCCTGTTCTGAACGCACCCCCTACACTGACCACTTTTTAGGTATCTGAGCCACAGTTATGTGTAAGAAGACTGCAGTCAGTCCCAGGACCTTACAGCAGTGGCTTTCGCCGTCTTGCATAACACAACAATGCTTCAATTAATAGAACTCACTGGGCAGAAAATGCCCTGCCATTCCAAAGCACAAAAATAAAGGCAGTACAAATTTCAGGTGGTCTTTTAGACTCCAGTGGGGACCCTGCCTCATTACCATTTTGAAATGCTGGCA